CCTGTAAACCCTAAACCCTAAACCCGTAAACCTTCAGTCCTGAACCCTAAACCCTAAACCTATAAACCCTAAACCCCTAACCCTTCAATCCTAAACCCTAACCCCTCAACCCTAAGCCCTAATCCCTGAACCCTAATTCCTGAACCCTAAACCCTAAACCTTGAACCCTAATCCCTGAACCCTAAACCCTAAACCCTGAACCCTAAACCCTGAACCCTAAACCCTAAACCCTAAATGCCCAAAATGCCCTCAATGCCCTAAATACCCTAAACCCTAAGCCCGAATTGGCACTCCCAGGTTCCTGGATGCAGGGCTACTCCCCGACGCTGCTTCGGGATGTGCCGTTCAGCGCGATCTACTGGAGACTCGGCGGAGATCAAGGGTTTAGGGTTTGGGGCTTAGGGCTTCGGGTTTGGGGTTTGGGGTTTAGGGTTTGGGGTTTAGGGTTTAGGGTTTAGGGTTTGGGGTTTAGGGCTTAGGGTTTAGGGCTAGGATAAGGTTTACTATAGTACTCAAGGATTTAGGGTTTAGGGGTTGGGGTTTAGGGTTTAGCGTTTAGGGTTTAGGGCTAGGATAAGGTTTACTATAGTACACCCCCAAAAAAAGTTGGAAACTGGATTGAGGACAAACAGTGCTGGGACTCCCTATGCATTGCTCTTCAACTGTTGGGCTTCCGGTATACAAGGTTCCAATGATGCTTATGGTAAGTGCTACAAGAGCTCTTGTAGCGGTAAATCGGTAAACCCTAAACCTTAAACCTTTCCCCAAACCCCAAACCCTAAACTCTACACCCTAAACCTTTCCCTAAACCCTAAACTCTAAACCTTTCCCCAAACCGTAAACCCTAAACTCCGCACCCCCGAGTTCGGGCTAAACTCCAAAGCCCGTTTCCGTTTTTTTTTGGGGGGGCGGCTCGGGGCCTGAAAGTCAGCTTTAGAGTTTACGGTGGGATAAGGGTTCCTTAAAAGGGACCTATAAGGGTTCTATAAAGGAATCTATAAGGGGTTTAGGGTTTTAGGGTTTAGGGTTTAGGTTTCCCTGATTTAGGGGTTTTAGTGGTTTAGGGTTTAGGTTTCCTGATTTAGGGTTGAGGGGTTTAGGGTTTAGGGGGTTCCCTACAGCCCTAACATCACAGAGGGGTTTAGGGTAAAGGGTTCAGGAGCTTAGGGGGTTTAGGGCTTTCGGTACTATTGCTATGACCTTATGACCCTTACCAAAAAAAACACACTCTGCCCCAACACCCAGCTCTAAGTACTAAGGCACCTTAAACGTCCAAAAGCCTTGAAGTCCTGAGCCCTCATTCCTGAATCTGAAAACCTGCAAAGAGGAGCCTAAATAGCAGGACAGGGCTTCGGGGTACATTAGTCTAAGGTTGAACCCATGGGCCCCTAACATGGGCCCTTAGGGGATTCTAGGGTCCCTTAAGAATATATAGGGTATATAGTAGGTATATTGGGGTCCCAGGGTTAAGGGCCCATACTAAGGGGCCCATGGGTTCTGCCGTAGATTAGATACTTATACCGTACCAGGGACCATACACAAGGGAACAGTCTTCACAGGCAGGATGCGGTTTGGGGTGCATATTTAGCATCATGGAGGGGCCTTAATAATTGCCTATACTATTCTTTCCCTTTGTTTTTTTTGGGGGGGTCCTATAATAAGTTCAATGTTATATACCCCAAAACCCTGTTCTAATTATTAAGGCCCCTTCCCTATAAACCCTTATTATATCCCTTTCAAGGAACCCTTTAAAGGAACCCTCTTCTAATTCTTAAGGCCCCTATATTAGGTAACATGCGGGACTATCAGGGATTTGCCCTGACGAAAGGAACCCTTGCTGAAGCCCTGAACACAAAAGCTCAGGGGCTGAGTAGGGTTTAGGGTTTAGGGTACCTCATTGGGCTTGTAGGGTATCCTGAAGAGGCTTAGGGTTGAGGGTTTTTAGGGCTATGGGGATCTATTAATTACCTATAGTAGTTCTGAAAAGCTGAGTAGGTAACCCTTAACCTATTGGGCCTTATATAACCCTACTACAATTGAATAGGTTAACCTTTTTGGGCTAGGGTACTCAGCCCCTAATAAAGCCTAAACCCTAAATACGGTTGATGATATAGATCCTGCACTACCCAGAATACGGAAGATACCATAATTCCCATAGTTTATGGTCCTTAAGGTAATGCAGGATTTACATCATCAACTGTATCTTAAGGGCTGAGTAGGCAACTTTTCACCTTTTAGGGTTTAGGGTTTAGTGTTGAGGATACCTTTTTGGGCTGGTATAATTCTACTTTAGTTTAAATGGCTAACCGTTGTTTGGGCTAAGGTACTGAGCCCCCTAAGCCCTAAATATTTGCAGAACCGCTGCGCTTTCTCGGAGCCACTGAGATGCCATGCAGGTGGGCGTACGAGTCAATCAAGAAGGAGGTGCCAGCCCCTTCCAGGACGCGTTTCTCTTGTTATAGGGTTTAGGCTTTAGGGTTGTTTAGGGTTTAGGGTTAAGGTTTATGGATGCTCGGGGTTTAGGGTCACAATCAGGGTTGGTTTAGGGCTTCAGGTTCGCAAAGGCGTGGGTTCTCGCTTGTGTTTTCTCATGTTTATGCTGTTTAGGGCCGGCCCCTTCCTAGAAAGCACTTCGCCAAGAATGGCCTCCATGCTAATGAAATGACATAGGGTTTAAATAGCTACCAATACTATTTGGTGGCTCCTGATTATAACCTAAAACTACCATGCTATTTTGGTGGCTCCTTATTCTAATCTAAAACTACCAATGCTATTTTGGTGGCTCCTTATTATAACCAGAGTAGAACATCCCTATAATAGGAGTTCCTTTTTGGGATTACCTATAGGATTCCAAGTATGAACCCCAACAAGGAACTACTATGCGGCC